GAGAGAGAGAGAGAGAGAGAGAAAGAAAGAAACCGGAGACACATGAGCCGCGGATTCCAGTTACAATATACTTAAGCCAAATTCCCGGAGCTCCCGTGCTCTAGGGACCTTAGCAACGAGCTCCGGCAGTTCTAGCGGCAGGAAGCCCACACGCCGAGGTTCCTGACTCTGGCGCCGGCTCCTACCGCCTCTCCCGCCAGCACCGGCCCTCGTGGGGCTTCCCTCTGGTTCTCCGCACCAAAGCCCTCTGGTCAGCTGCCCACACCGGTGATTCAGGAAACCACCTTCAAGTAACATAGACATCCGGCGCCGCGCAGTGACATCACACGCGCCCCGCTAGCGCTTACCCAATTAAAGGGAGGCTGCAGAGACGCTCGGGAGGTTGCCTGGCAACTATTGGGCGTTCTCAGGCCACTGTCAGTAAAGCGCACCTGTGGACTGTCTCAGGTGACAACGGAGCCATGAGAAGACCTTAAAAGAAGTTTAAGTTCTAGTTTCCAGAGAACAGACGCTGATTCGCTCTAGTTCTCCAGTCCTGCCTCTCTCAGTCTATGTGCTTTTTCTCAGGAATATTTTAATGTCCTCCAACATGCCTGCCTTAAGGCCTGACAACCATGGGCTTCTCTTAGCTTCCTGTCATGTTAATTCCTTTCCTGTTATATATTACCATTCCATATGCTCTTGCATTCAACTGCAGAACGCTCTAATTTTATAATATACAATTATAATATAATTATAATTTTACAATACTATAATTTTATAGCTATAAACATATTATTTTGTCCTTCAGATTACTTTCATGAAGTTGGTGCTAGGGGAGAATGTGTTCCTTTGCAATTCCATCAGCAACAATTTAGGTAATATCTGTTAAAAGACCAAACTCTTTTTAGACCTTTCTACTTCACCCTTTTCTAGAATTCTCTTTGTTAAGCCTAAAGTCTTACCTTTTTCCTCAAGTATGGGGCAGTTTTGTGTTTTATTTCAGAGCTCAGACTATGTATGATGCACAAAATTTTCCAGTTCTTTATTTTAAAAAAAGACCACAAATTGGGTAAATCTCACTTAATTTTAAGTAAAACATTTGCACTTTATGTTTTTGTTTTATAAAAACTTTGTCATGGCATCATTTCAAAAATGATGAGTGCTTTCTGGACCATCCTAGTTTGAGAAGCTTCTAAGAAATTCATGTGAGACTGACTAGAAGGTCGTTGGATAGACCATATAGAGGTTTGGAAAGAGTCTGAACAGAGGTGTGGATTTTAGGACCAAAAGTGTGTGGGTGATGATAACCAGGAACGTGAGGTGAGGTGCAAGTGTTTCTTGCAGGCTAGAGTGTATGAGAGTCCCCTTCCTACCTTATTTTAGATTTAAAATAATACTTTATTTTATATTAAAAAAATAAAGGAGTGAGGTAGAGATGCCATATGTATCTACCAATATAGAAAAAAAAAACTGAAACCACAGAGTAGACTGTGCAATTTCTTTGTGCTGCCACAGACCCACTCTGATATTTTTAGAACTGTCTGCCTTGGGATGGTCATTGGTATGAACCATATCAACTTGCTCTTTATTTCTGGCTTTTATTTGGATTTAATTAGTGGAGAATATTAATAAATGTTTGGGAAATATTGGAGAGTAAAATATTGATTTTTCTATTTTCTTGATCACTTTTCTAATGTTCTGAAGAGATGCCATGACCAAAGCAGCTCACACACACACACAAAAGCATTTAATTGGGGATGTGCTTACAGTTTCTGAGGTTTAGTCCATTGTCATCATGGAAGGTAGCACACCAGTATGCAAGACACTGGACCAGAGTTGAGAGGTTCATCCTGATCAATAGGCAGGGAATCAGCAAGAAACATTAGGCCAGGTATGGGTTTTTAAAAGGCTCAAAGTCTGACCCCTAGCGACACATTTCCTCTAACAAGGCCACACCTTCTAATTCTTCTAATACTATTGAAGAGTTCCACTCCTTGGTTACTAAACATTCAAATAAATGAGCCTGGGGGGGAGGGCATTCTTCTTCGATTTCTTTTTGTAATTCTTTTTGCTGCTACAGACCCACTCTTTAGCATTTTTAGTACTGTTTGTTTTGGGAAACTCATTAGTATGAACCATATCAACTGGCTCTTTATTTCTGGCTTTTGTTTGGATTTAGTTAGTGGAGAATATTAATAAATATTTGGATATTGTTAGTGGATAATATTAATAAATAAATAATCAATACTAATAAGCATTCCATTCCCTGGCTCCCATAGGCTTGTAGCCATACAATGCAAAAATATATTCAGTCCAACTTCAAAAGTCCCTATAGTCTATAAAAATCTCAACATTGTTTAAAAGGCCAAAGTTCAAAGTCTCTTCTGAGACTCAAGGCAGTCTCTTAACTGTGATCCCTCGTAAAACTGAAATAAAAGCAAAATGAAAAAAAAAAAGCAGATCACATACTTTCCACATACAGTGGGACAGAATATACATTAGATTACAAAGGAGAGGAAAGGAAGCATAATGAGGAAAAACTGGACCAAAGCAAGACAGAAAACCAGCAGGGCAAATGCCAAACTCAGATGGGCAATGTCTGATGTCAAAGTATTCTTCAGATCACTTTGGCTTTGTTGACTACAACACACTTCTTTCTCTTGGCTGGTTTCTGCCATCCCCTCCCACTCCCCATCTGCAGCTCTCTTTGGTAAGTATCCTATGAGAGGCATCTCCAATGTCTTAGGGTTTCCAACACAATCCAGGCTTTACCTTCATGGCTAAATATAATGGCTTCTCTGGTTCTCCATCAAGGGACACTCTTGACACATTCCTAGCCTCAGTGCCTTTCCTTGGCTGTGGAAGGAAATTTCATAACATTTTTCTGGTATCCTTGACACTAAAGCCAGAACCACATGGCTGAAGCTACCAAGCACTGAGCCCTGCTGCTTGATGTGCCTAAAATATGGCAGCTAAGCTACAGCCTTATGTGAGGAGAGAGAGAGAGGGAGGGAGAGAGAGAGAGAGAGAGGAAGGGAGAGAGAGAGACTAGCATGTGTATGTGGGCTTTTGAAAATTTCAAAGGCCAACCCCAGTGAGATAAATTCTTTCATAAGGCCACACCTCTTAATCCTTCTAATCCTATCAAAACAGTTCTACTCCCTGCTGACTAAGCATTCAAATACATGAATGGGGATCATTCCTATTTAAACCACCACATACACCTAGGAGGCATAAAGGGTTGGTCATATTCCCATATGAAAGTGACAGCTGCTTTTTGAGATAATATAAATATGGGTGTCTGTGTCTCCCTCAGCAAAATGCTTATTTTCAAGGTAATGATGTGAGGTGGTGGGATTATGGGGGGGGGTGATTTCTTCAGAGTTGGGGAACTATCATAGTTGGACTTATGCCCATAAAAGAGAGGTCTGAGGGAGACTACTGACCTCTCCCCCAACCCCATCCCCAAGTAAGGATGCTGTGAAATGGTGCCATCTGTGAAATAAGAAGGAAGTCCTCACAAGACAGAATTGGTTGTTGTCTTAATTTGAGACTTCTTAACCTGATAATGAGGGGGAAAAATAAGAAATAAATGTTCCATTTATAAACTTCCAAGTAGGGCACCTCTTTTTAGCATCAGGCTAAAAAATCTGTATGTCCATCCCAGCCCTAAAAATGAAAACCTCAAAGATTACTTGTTCTGGTTACTGCATCATGTGGATCTCCGACTCCTTTAAAAATAAGATCTCTCCAAATTACACTACTGTAGTGTGTTGATACTCATTATATGACATTAAGAATTAGCTAATGGAAGAATGGCATGTCAAATACACAGGATGCTGCTTTCTCATTGTTGTGATTCACTTGTGATTTACTGATTGGTTGAATTAATTAAAAGTTAATTACCAGGCATTTTAAAAGAAAGCACCAGTGATATCAATGGCTTTGCTTTACTTATAGAAAAACAAAAACAACAACAACAACAACAAAATCCCTCTCTTCTATAAATTACAAACAAAAAAATCATCTCTTCCAGCTATTACCAAGCCCCGTCTTTGGGAGATGTGATCTAAGATAACATCCACTGTCTCTTTTCTGAAGCAAATAAATATTATCATCAAAAACTAATTAAACACAAATTTGTACATATAAACAATTTATCTATGATAGAGGCCCCTCAAGTGATAGTAAGTGAAGTGAACAGAGATGGCTAAATATAGCCACAGTGTCACAAAAGAAGGAAAACTAACCCAAGACACACAGAAACATTTACATTTCCACACAGCCACATTCTGAAAAAGTTATAAGAAACAGATAACATTATTTCATTGATTCTAATAATATAATTTTATTATGAACTAAAGTTTTATGTGGGGAAAACGGGTATACAGAAAATGATAAAGTATAGAGGAGAAACAAACAGAACTAATGGTATTTGAAAAGGCCATAAAAGAAGTTGTTTACTGATTAGCTAATAAAAATGTAGTTTGAAACCAAGTACCAAGTAAGGATGAATCAAGCCAGTCCCAGAAACCATAGATCTTTTTGAAAAAATATCACTGTGCCAGAATTTTTACCTCACTAATTATTGTTGGACAGGAAGGGCTTTGAGGCTCCCAAACAACGCAGGTGATTGTCAATACTCTTGTGTTGGTATGGGCTTGTTGCTGAAGATGTCATATGTATTAGATACAGGAAATAAAGAAGGAAATCCAGAACTGAGCTAGAGGCTTTCTTCCTGCTGCTTAGCTCTAATAATGCCAGACTGTGTTGTGCAGCTTGTTTGAGATAGGGGTGGGCATTGGGCTCAACAACCTAACTTACTGTAGATTCACTGTACACTACTGCTAACAAGCCAGACAAAATGAGCCTAGTGGCATTTAAATGAAGGGAAGAGATCCTTCAGTGTGAGGAAGGTTTCTTATCCTTAGCTGGGCTTTAATACAGGCATTATGAGGCTAGCATATGATGGTCTCATAAAGAATTTTCACTAATTGAATGAGATACATGGTTTTCTTTCACTAATTTGAATAATGGATTTCATACACAATCTAAGTGTGAATTTTAGAAGGAAGCTTTACTTTAACGTTGTTACTGGGAGCTTAAGACACAGTGGGCAAGTGTGATTCGTGGAAAACAGGGTATTGTAAAGTTGATAGTCTACAGGCTTTCTTATAATACCTATGGTAGTCACTGGTGTGAGGCAGATAAGTTGGTATTTGGATGTGGCCCATATGAGGTGTACAGGTGCTCCTAATTCTTAGTCATATCTTCATGCATAACTTTCAG